CTTATATCTGAAGTGAGAACTCTCTGGGACGAATCTCCAAATGGGGCGATTAAATTTAGCTCAAGCAAAGTTTGTGGGTTCACTGTGTCACTTTATTCGGAACTTCTTGGTTTACGAATGGGCTCCAGTTCTTTCTTTGTTCTGTACTGTGTTTTCCACGTGACATCTTATGAGGAACTATTCGACATAATTCCGTAATCATGCCAAGGTTATCTTCGAACGTGGTATATGTACGTAGAGTAATCAGCGGTGGCAAAAAGTTACGCCCCTGCCTTTGCTGACGTCTACAAGAGAAGCCTTGATGCGTAATTTTAAGGAAATTAAAATTCTAAATTTAACGTTCACATGCATTTTTCACAATTTGATGTCATATCTTGAAAAAAAAAAGGTCAGTTTCTCCAAGGTTGTTGATTTATACGATATTTATATTACTAGAGGAATAAACATAGCCTAGCTTTGCCAACGGATCGAATACGTTAAATAAGTAAAAAATAAAATTAAAACTATCTTAATAATTGATTGGAAAAATATGGTAACTTATTTTTTAATTGAAATTACTTTCTGTGTATAATATATTTTAGAATTGGAATTATCATTTCAGTATAAATTTGATACATACGTGTGACTACCGCGAATGCCCAGCTTACCGTCTAGTGCTCGAGAGGCAGGGTACATGCCTCTCGAGCCTTATTTAAAACTAGCAACCCGCCCTCGCTTCGCTTCGGAAACATTAAAACACACATGAAACCAAAAATAAAAAATAAAAAAATAAATAAAAAAAGCCTATGTTCATCAGGGACAATGTCGGCTTCTAATGGAAAAAGAATTTTTCAAATCGGTCCAGTAGTTTCGGAGCCTATTCGAAACAAACAAACAAACAAATCTTTCCTCTTTATAATATTAGTATAGATCTACTAAAAATTTAGATCCATACTAGACTTAGCAACGTAGCTAATGAAAACTGCTTAATTTCTGTATATATAAATGAATGCAATATGCGCAGCATGCACTCACTATTGATATTCGGAAATAGTTCTAAATTATTTGATGCCTAGCTAACTGAATGAATTGCAAATGTTTGCTGGTCAAACTGCTCTTATATAATAATATAAATCTCAAATAATTTATTTAATCTAGGAAAATTAACGGTGGTTAACTTTTAGCACACCTTTAAAGAAAAGGTCTGACTAAGGATTTGTGTCGAACTTTCTTGACTGTCGAAAGTTTTAATGATGACTTGGTTCCGTGCCGATGTGCAAATATCTATTTGTCATGTCGCGATCGCTTCGCGGAATCCGTTCCTGCGTTACAAAGAAAGTCTCAAATTCTCACCGTTAGATTCGAAACGATTATAAAAATTATGTAAAATTACTCACGTTTTTATTCTAGCTTTTATTATAGATATACTATTTATTTATTATTATGACAGATAATTACAACATTTAACAATTTCTTCTTCAATATCCTTTTAAATTTCATTAAAGAAACACTCGACTTCCAATAAGTAATTTTATAAAAAATACACTTCAAGTCAACTCTGTGTATTCACAGGCTGTAGTGGAGTTTTCAGGTATCGAAATGTGAAACTTAAAAAAACAGATATGACAACAACTGTCTCTTGTTCTTGTTTCTTTCTGTTTAGTTCTTGTTTCTTGTTTTCATGCCTGCCCGAAACGCGCATAGAGTGAACAACACAATTAAATCACAGAGAAATACATTCCCAGTTATGATAAGAGCCCCAATTTACTAAAGTTCGCAACAAATGAGAACAAATATTTTGACACAAGGGGCGGGCTCGATGGCGAAGCACATTCGCCGCGCACCGCCACGTACATAACTAAACGACTCTGCACATTTAATTGTTACAAAAAATGGGGCTTCGGTTTTGCAGTAAATAAAAGAAACGAGACCATTTTCTTTTAAATGTAAACTGAAAGTAAAAAATGTAAGTAATATTGGATATGGGTAATGATTGGCCGTACTCACTTATATCACGTCTGTGTTTGATTCCCTATGAGCTCGTTGCATTATGTGTTTCTTCGTTTACTCGTTGGACTATTTCATGAAGAATATCTAATAAATTAATCGAATAACATTAAATTAACACATAACACATAATAAACATTAAAAAACGCGAAATCAATCGTAAATGTTTCACATTAACCGCCCGGAATGCATGAAAATTACTAACCTTGAATATCTTTATTGTTATTACGTCACATAAACTATTTATATCTTTTAAGCATTACATAATATTGTAAGTTTGCGAAGTTAGTAATTTTATCTCTGACTCAATTGAATAGTTCACTGATTATAGAAGTAAAGTTTACGATAAGCCTCGTTCGTGTGGTATCGCAATGTTATTATTAGTTTCCGAACTTACTACGGCTTTGTTTGGCAATGCTTATCTTGGTATTTTGCGGATTAATTGTAGATGTATTTTTTAATTCAAAGAATAGTTGGAAGGGTTCAAACCACTATCATAAAGTAACGTTTCTTCCAGAAGTACGACAATTGAAATTTGTTTTTGTATTGACTGTCTATTCGAACCCAAGTTGTGCCCAATTTTCGCCGGAGTTCCAAAACAAACCAAAAATATTATAGTAAAAGTAACTATTAAAATATTTTTTAAATTCATGACACGTTAGTAATATTAATTAAATTCATCAATCATTAAATAAAACTAATTTCGTGCGACCCCTCTGCTGTCCAATACATCTCTCTATTATTCGTCTGTACTTTACTAGTGTAGTAATACTACCAGTATTAGTACATTATTTACTGACTCTACTTCACTAACACCCTTCATTCTAAGACATAAATAATGAATAAGTGTTAGATACTCATGTACTTCAAATAGTGAAGGAATAAGTAAAAGATAATGGACAAGATTGATCGTAAAACATTTTCGCACCCGTATCGGCGACCCTCATTACCCCAGAGGATTCTCACGAAGCAATCCACTCGATGAGCACTCGAGTCACTTTATTGCCACCAAGAGGTCAGAAAATCGCTTCTTAAAATGTTGTTTCGTTCAACAAGTGGCTCCTAAGAATATCATGCGCTATATATTCATGAATATGAAACCTTTTGGATGTCATTAAAAAGTAAATTATTTAATTATAGTTATAATAATGAAAAATTACTACAGAGATAATGAAAATAGAATAATGAAATCAAAATAAGAAACGCGATTATATAAAATTAGTTTTAATTATGTCAACGACTTGCGAGAACCGTACAAAATACAATTTAAATTAACAAAGTGAGCCTCTATTTCAAATCCATTCGTATTACTATTTCTTATTGCTACGTAAAAAGCAAAAGAAACCGCAGGTCATTTAAAATAATATTAATTACTAAACATATATCTCTCTCTCTCTGAGTTACATTCCTCATGTCTGAGGATCGTGACCATCTCTTCCCATTATCCTTCTCTGGATGATGTCTCGCCATCTTCCTCTGTTCTCGGCAGTGTGTATGGCAACGTAGACTGTGGTATTCAGAGAGAGTATATACTACTATATACATATATTTTAATGTAAATCATTTTTTACAAAATGAAAACAACGAAATCTCAAAGCGTACGATAATTGGCAATGTGTACAGTTTAGACGGTAATTTAATTAGGGTTCAGTGTTTAGTGGGGCGGAACTGTCGCACACAGGTCGTCGGGGCGTAATTACCAACTCCAGTGACACGACGCTGTACGTACTCGTGTTAGACGTGATCAACAAAACATGACACGCTCTGCGCCCCGTAATCACTTTTAGATCTGATCCATTCCAACAAATACGAGTATATAATGTAATTATTACGGTAATTGAAAGAAATTGACTTTTCTTGGGTTTGGTTTTTTTTTGTTACAAATTCCTACGTGGATATGAATAATGGCGGGCGATCATACATCATGGCATAAAAAACGGGAGACCTATGCCCAGCAGTGGGTATCAAAGGTAACATAACTTTCTTATTTCTAGCAAGACGGACAATGAACTAAATAAATGTTCAGTAATTGGGCCTCGGCACGGTGCGCGGCGACGTGCCGAGGGTTCTCGTGTGCACAATTACGCAGCAATTATGCCACGTAACGCAAAACCTCGTAAATATCTTCAAATAGGTTAAAAGCCTATTTGTTCCTTCCTATACCCCTTACGCATGTTTACTTGGGGACATGATAATTAACCTCCGAGACAGTAAATTTTTATACATAATTTTAATCATCAAAAACGAATCTAAATGAATAATTTTATTGAGTTGAATTCAATAAGAAAACTGTACGAATTTAATAATTTTAATACAATGTTATGTCTGTTATAATAAAAAACATACTTGGATAGCATGGGGCTCTGGTAAAATAGCAACACCACCTCTCTCGGGAAAATTAATTTAATTAGGAACTAATTCCACGTCGTGTCGTGATAACATGTACAATATACTAATACTACCTCATCTATATTAAATCTTGTATCTAGAGGCATAGATATTATTATTAGGTAACTTAACTTACAAGCTTGTGAATGTTCGCATTTACTAAAGTTGCTTAATTACGTAGGTATAAGTCATGAAAAAGTTAACATTTCACAATAACATACGTACGTAGGTGTAGGGCATCATTTGTAAGTTAAAAATCTTATTGGTAAATTCTCTTCTGGGTAATATTATTATTTATTTATAAGTTAACGTAATATTTTATTAATAATATGTAATTATTGGTTTTAAATAAGGTTATAATATTATACAAAATTAAGCTTTAGTATATGGAACTTCGAATATAATCATTTCATTAAATCACAAAAATCTAAAGAAATGGAAAATTTACACATTTCTAGTTCTCTATTGGAATAAAGTACAGAATGTTTAGAATATAATCGATAATATTTTTATATGATCAGCATTTTAATCGCATTTTTCTTTAATTATCTATTTAACTTGCTGCGGTGAACGGTGAACGGCGTGTATTAATTTGCAGTGTTATTATAAAGCTTTTTTCGTTGTAGGTGGAGATGTTGTACCAACGCTACTTTCTCCGCATGAACCAGACGAACATGACGCACCTGCTGGGGTTGCTGTTGACCGTCGCCGTCGGCCTCATGGTGGTGCAAGTTCGGACGCTACTCCTTGCTCAGAACTTCCTGGGAGAACTCATACCGTTCCCATTCGTATTGAGCAGTACGGAACCTAATCTGTGAGTTTCATCGGTGACATAATCGATTAGAGTTTAGCAGCAGACTAGAATGAGTCGATCAGTATTTATTGAGTTACGTGGTGTTTGTTGTGCAGAGAGCCGCTGGAGTTCTTCACGCAGTACCCGCGCTCGGGCACGCTCAGCGACTCGCAGTCCTTCGACGACACCGACCCGTCCCACTACAAGCGGATCTACTACGAGAAGGAGCGGGTCGCGCACATCATCAACGTCATCGTGCTCGGACTCAGCGCTCTGGTCTTTGCCTGTGAGTCTATAATGTCTTTCTTTGCGTTGTGGACGAACTGACGTAGCATCATGGTTCAGTGATTACTGGACGTCGTGACACGGGCGTGCTGACACTAACTTTGAGGAGTCGCGTTGACGTGTTCAGTAGTGCTGTAAGGAACGCAAGCTGTAACATAAGCATGGCGACAATACCAATTGGCAAATGCCGTTTGCTGTTCGCAGCACATTGGTATACAGAGGGCTCGCAGGGCGCTGCACTCTTTGTTCGGGTAATCCCTTTACGACCCTCGCCGAAAGAAATAGGGTGGTGCTATTCTAGGCCACTACATCACACCACGATTATTCTATCACTAAAACACAAGGGACTATTTTATGAAACTGTGCCTTTGGCCTAGCTTTGTTCTACTCCAGAAATATATTAACTAGAATGAGAGTTTGTATTCATGACGCAATGTGCTCTGGCAGGCCTGCTGGCGTGTCTGAGCCGTCCCGCCATGAATGAGATCTACCTGCTCACCATCTCTTATGTGGTGCTCGTCGCATTCCTGCTCATTGAATTCTCATTTGCCGGAACTTCAGTACTGAGGTAAGTTTTGTTCACACTATGCTTCAAAATCTGCGTTTTTAACAAATAAAATTTATCATTTTATGCATGTGTGTGTATATCTATATCACTAGTGTAAAAAAAATCGTGAGGCAAATGAAAAAGACGTCTATCTTTCTACAACAAAGTAGAAAGTTGAGTTTACAACTTGTTCCTGCTAGAATAGCTTCTTAAAGAAACAGGTTGACAGTGAGTGGGGTCGTGCAAAACGAATGCACCACGCTGTCGGACTCGGTCCCACGAGCCCACTACTGAACCACCACTGCTCCTATGCTGCTCCTATACTGCTCCACTACCACACACTACACAGGCGAGGCGCGTCACGGCACACAGCTATTCTAGATTTCGTGACGTATGTACACGCATAACTTCAGAACGCCTGCAACAAATTGGATAATTATGTTTGTTGTTGTTTTTATGTTGAAAAGGTTCTTATGAAAAAAAATTAACAAAATTGCGCGGAAAATTAGAACATTAAGACAAACTAACCAACTTATTAAATTTTCTAATGTAACCTTATGGCGTTTGATTGATTTATTTGACAGAATGCGTGCTGCAAATATCAAATTTGTATAAAAGAAAATTCAATAAAATCAATAATACATTTTAGTCCCCGAAGCGAAGCGAGGGCGGGTCGCTAGATTGTATATAAAACAATAGTCACATTCGTATGTATTAATTAGTTACTCATTAAATAAACAACTACATCGTAATGTTCTGTATCCTAGCTCAAATTCTAGCATATTTGAAGTCGTCGTGGCCTAACGGATAAGGCGTCCGGTGCATTCGTGTTGAGCGATGCACCGGTGTTCGAATCTCGCAGGCGGGTACCAATTTTTCTAATGAAATACGTACTCAACAAATGTTCACGATTGATTTCCACGGTGAAGGAATAACATCGTGTAATAAAAATGAAACCCGCAAAATTATAATTTGCGTAATTACTGGTGGTAGGACCTCTTGTGAGTCCGCGCGGGTAGGTACCACCACCCTGCCTATTTCTGCCGTGAAGCAGTAATGCGTTTCGGTTTGAAGGGTGGGGCAGCCGTTGTAACTATAATTGAGATCTTAGAACTTATATCTCAAGATGGGTGGCGCATTTACGTTGTAGATGTCTATGGGCTCCAGTAACCACTTAACACCAGGTGGGCTGTGAGCTCGTCCACTCATGTAAGCAATAAAAAAAAAAAAAAAAAAAAAAAAAAATATAAAACATAAATGTTTTAGTCTAATTTCAGAAATAATTATACATTTCTTTTAAATTATTAAAACTATTAAGTTTCTATTTCATTATTGCTACACTTTGTGCTTATGTCTATTACACTTACTATTACGTTAAGTTATAAATAAAGGTAAGATATAATCATTTTCCTGAAAACAACATTAGTTTTTATATATATAAAAGCAGCTTAAGGGCACTGAGTTCATGTTGTATACTCGTAGTATAAGTATTTGTGTTATCCTCTAAGAAGTTTCACTTCTTCCACGTGCACTAAGTTGCACGCGCACCATTTTTCAAAATGACATCGTGTCTGAACTCGGCTGTGTTGCCATGTTACCTAACCGCCCTAGGATAGCTTTACATATTTATCTAACTTATTATTTTCATAATATTAACATTTTTACAATTATTTAATAACAAATAATATTAATATAAGGTGTGTAATACGTTTCACATTCATAATGCATTAAATATTCTTCAACCTGTTTACACAATAAATTTACATCATACAGTGCTTGCTGGTCACATAATTAAAACGTTTATTAGAAGGGAATGTTTTTACAAGCTAACAAGTTTAAGTAATTGCATGTTTCTTTTTGTATTTCTCTCGTACCGCAAAAGTTTATCATACTAGCAGTACACATTCGTTAAGCTGATAAAAGGAAATATGTTTCTGTCTCAGGTTGGCCAGCTGACAAACCATATTTAAACCCAATAGAGCATCTGCGGGGCGAGGTTAAGTTTCAAATGGAAGGCAATTTAAAAGAACTCTGCGATGTTTTCTCAGAAGAATAGAACTCTAACTCTCTTATGAATGTTCATAAATTAGTAGAGTCAATGCCTCGTTTGTGTAAAGGGGTAATTAAAAGTCACGCACATTTAAAATCCATTAAATTTATTGTTTTCTTTGCACACTTCACATTAATGTGATTTGTTTAATCTACTTTAATTTAATCTACTCACATATAACAACTCTAGAGCTATGTAATAAATCGTTCTTGACCATTTGTCCAATGGCATTATTACTATTTGAATTTGTTACCAAATTAATAAAAAAAAAAGTAGTGATATTATTCTGCAGTTGTAGTCCCGTTTGATCTATTCATGTGGGTATTTCATAACATAACTAGTTACTTTTAAGAAAGAACATATAACTACACATTATATGATTTAGATAAAAAAATCAGGAACTTCAAATCGTTCGTAATTACATGACCACAACTGTATACATAGATGAAGATAAATACATGCAATGTGTGTATATACATATGTAGTAAATAGACATAATTACATATACCTATTACTACTGTAAATATATGGACTGAAGTGTATGTGTAAAGTTGGAACAAAAGTTGAATCCATATCAACAAAGGCGGCCCGTGGCGTTTGCGCGGCCGCCCTCTCTCCAACTTACATCAGATCATAAGTTTCGCTTGAACTGTTCGCTCGAAACTAACCACAGAGCCAGGGTCAGCCCATTTGTTTCTCGCTTAACAAAACATTCCCAATGCTCGAGCGGCCCGCCCTTAATGTAACTGTTACTTCAATAAACTGAACAGTTCGTGGAGAGACACGCTGACAGGGCTTCGAAAGATCACTTTACATAACTGTTTTAATTGTTAAAGTAATTGTTTTTAGAATTTTCTTATTAAGGTCAAATTTAGTTTAATATAATTTATAAAATAATGATATATGCAATCATTATGTTAGGAAGGAATGCGTGGCAAATAGAAAAGCCACTAACCATTCTTGAAAACCATAAGGGGCCAGTAATCGTCTCGCGTGAAACATCTCCCTTTAGATTCAGCCTACGGTTGACAGTGAATCACCTCAGTTCCGCGGAACAAAGAACGTTATTAGAATGTTGTTATGGTCGGCTACCACTCGTATGAACTCGTATCACGTAACCAAATATTAATCAAATACCTAACAATCATTTATGAACTTGCCTTGCCGTAAACTATGTTTTATTTCGCTTCATGCTACACTTATTTTATTCATAAATAATATTTCCACCTGGAAAGCTTTTTTTAATATTTCAAAATCATACCTTCCTATTATTTCAGCGCTTAAGAAACGAGTATCATTTTTGAAATGAGTAAGAGTTTCACATCGATATTTTCCGAAAGCTATGGACATATTTTTATTGATACATACTTATCTGGTACCAAACGATTATTTTACTGGACAAGCAATAGTTAGGCAACATAACTAATCACAATTACTTTTTTATTTCTTACTAGCTGACCCGCAGACTTCGTAGTGCCTCGATCGATAAATAAAAGACCTAAGCTTTTATATAAAATAAACTTAATACAAATAAAATGAATCCGTCCGACGGGGATCCGTCCGACATCAAAGGGAAAACAAAATTGTTACTTTTATTTAGTTCCGAGCATTTTTATATTTATCTACCTTTTAAACCTTCTCTGGACTTTGACAAATAATTCAAGACCAACATTAGCCAAATCGGTCCAGGCGGTCTCGAGTTTTAGCGAGACTAACGAACAGCAATTCATTTTTATATATATAGATAGATAATTTCCGTTTAACGGTGATATGTAAAAAGTTCCAATGTCGTTTTAAAACTTTATGTTCATTACTCGTTAATATTTGAATAAAACTTTACTTTAAATTATATCCGATTACGAAGTGCTGCTCTAAGGAATTGTTTAAGATGATACCATCAACTCGTTTTTACCATCACACTGCTCGCCACCGAAGTTCATATTTTATAATACCTGTAGTCACTGCGTTCATCCACAGTGCGCTTCCAGAGATCATTTTTGCCAAGTACCATACGGCTTTGGAATGAGCTCCCTTCCATGGTGTTTCCCGAGTGCTATGACATCTCCTCTTTCAAACAAGGCTTGTGGAGAGTACTTAACGGTAGGCAGCGGCTTAGCCCTGACTACGAACGAAGACAAACGTGTCTATTTCCATCCTGACATTGATAATTATGAGTATGGTTGCTTTTGTATAACGACTACGCTGGAGAGAAAAAGGCAGCAACGGACGCTTTTAGTATATCTTAGTTTTGAGCGATCATCGAAGAAAACGACTACCTGAGAGGTGTTTTATCACAAGCTCAGCGGCAAGCAGTGACTCGGCTGTGCCCGAAGTACTAATCTTATGATATTCATGAGTAAGAGGCTATCGTCACACACCTTTAGGTAAAACTTTTCGTGTCTAAAACTCCGGATGCAGCCGTCTGCCTTACTCATTAGGACTTAGATTGTGAGTGACTACGTCTTGGTACCATAAGTCATCCCTGATTACACACTCAAAGACTGACTCACACTGTCAAAGACTTTCGTCCTGCGGACATTAACTCTGGACTAACTTTACTCTGGTCCTGTAATCTGACTGACAGTATCGATCGAATTAAAGGCTTTCTTGTAGTTAGACGCAGACAGACGCTACGCAAAGTGACAGGCAGTGGTCCTCGGTATTTCATATACCCTCATGCAGCTTCTTAATGTAGTCTACGGTATTGTAGTATTTACTGGCTTGTTCGGGAGGCTGGAAGTCATTGAACCTATGCGCAAGACTGTTCGTCAATTTCTCGAAGCTATTACATACATAATAATATAATATATATGGCACAGAAGTGAGATGCATCTATAGTTCCGGAGATTATCACTCTTTTTGAATAAGAGTAAGAGAGTTGAGTGTCTCGGGCTTGTCTGTACGATGAGTCCTGACAAACTTGGAATCGATCGTGTCTATGGATAGAGTGTAAGGTCAGTCGCAGTGAATTGTCTAGAACCAAGTACATATGTTACAGGTCGTTAACAGTGAGCACGGGAGCATGTTCGCTGTTCACGTATGTGACGTACGCGACGCTCCCGGTGCGACTCCACGAGGCCACCATCGGCGGTCTGGCGCTGGCCGCCGTCAACATCGGCGCGCATCTGCTACTCGACAACTCATCTGACATGCAGGTCAGTATTACTTCTTACGCTGCAATGCACACACACTTACTGCGACCCATACTCTAGCCTACGGTCTGCCGCTCGGTGTAGTTTGTTAGCTGTTAAATGGCTACCAGAGCCAATGGGCAATATATTGTCAATTCATCGCTTGTTGAGAAGTCCTAATTGAGAAGAAGTTAAACGAAAGTATTAAATGTCGGTAGTCGGTTTCATAAAGAGTACAATAATTGAGAAGTGCTTATATACGGCAGCTGTACTGCACGATCGCGACGCTGATCGCGTGCAACGCGGCCGGCATGCTGACGCACCAGCCGCGTGAGCTCGCCCAGCGCCGCGCCTTCCTTGAGACCCGCGACTGCGTCGAGGCGCGCCTCCTCACGCAGCGCGAGAACCAGCAGCAGGTACCCGCCGCCTCGCACGACACTCACGCCACTCACCAATCTTACTTGTTTACACTGCTGACTTGCCACCTTTCTCAATACTTTACTAAATAAACATAATTATTTTTATGGGTTTCACGCTCATACATTCAGGTTTCACTTTTCTACTTTTTATCATTAACTTCATAAATAAATTAAAAATACCCATTCATATTTAATAATTTTGAAATATCTAAAATTTAATTAGAATATAATACATATTTTAATCATCCAGTATTTAATTGCACAAAAATAGACACATAATTAAACAAAATAGCGTATTATATTGCAATTCAATAAATACATATATTTTTTCGAATATAATAAGAATGACGCAACTGGAATTTTTTACCAATTACCTTATTATTCAATACATTAAATGAACACCTTCGTCCGTAAAACTAAGGAATAATTTTAATAAGCTGAAACGCACAAGTTCCGAGAAAAACGGTGGAAGTAATCCAAGGGACTTTGTCTTTTGTCAACTAAATTAAATTCTAAGCCCCGGTATTTTGTGTATTTCGAACAGTAATCATTCGAAGAAAATAAAATAAGTTCTCCAGCTGACAGATGAAGACAGAAGAAAATGTCCAAACTGTTTATCGTTCATATTGCTGCGTCACTGAGGGTTAAGGAAGCCGGTCCTATGCGCTTAGCGTATACCTGTTCCTTGTTTGATAACGCCACGAATTTGTCTGAACAGTCTATTTAATATTCAAATTCATTAACATGATTACACTTTTGATGTACGATCAATTTGGACAAAAAATATATCGGCCCGTTTCCTATTCCTTTATAAATTCCTGGTTAATATTTTAATACAGCAAACCTATGTGAAAACTTTGCACTTTAATATAATTAGACTAATGTTATTACAATTAGTAGAAAGCCTTCATAAAACCTACTGCTTCCCGTTTTGTACCTGATACATTCCTAGACGTACTGCAGCATCGATATATTTATGTTAAATCTTTAAACGAGCAATTCTTGTAGAATCTCGGAAACGGCTCCAACGATTTTCATAAAATTTAGTATACAGGGGATTTCGGAGGCAATAAATCGACCTAGCTTCGATTTATTTTCAGAAAATGTTGTTTTATTCGTGTTTTCAATAATCACTTTATAGATAATCAACTTATGCATAAACTTTTTTTAATTTTTTTGAATTAATATTTGTGCATTTTTGTGTTTTCTTTTTTTTATTGTTTAGATGGGTGGACGAGCTCACAGGCCACCTGGTGTTAAGTGGTTACTGGAGCCCATAGACATCTAAAACGCAAATGCGACACCCACCTTGTAAGTAAGTTCTAACGTCTCAGTATAGTTACAACGGCTGCGGCAGGGTGATGATACCTACCCGCGTGGACTCACAAGAGGTCTCACCACCAGTAATAAGGACCAGGGTCAGAAAATTAGAGGTTTCTTTTATTTGCGTTACTGGTAATAAAGACGAGAGAATATGAACTGTAGAGATTTCAAAGGCATCAGTGAGGTTTGTGCTCATCGAAATCGCGAGCTATGCAATTTGATATATTTTTTTCCGATAGAAACTCGTTGCAATATCTGATGCGCGGTATTAATCTAACGCAACGATACGTACCTGCCTCAGCTCGGTCCGATGCTAATCCGGGAAAGTGAACGGGTAGTCAACTTTTAAATTTATACCGATATCGGTAATACGAAAATGTAGGAGACGAAATCTACAAATAATGTTACATAAAATAATAAAATATAAAAAATTATCTACAAATAAAATAAATATACGCAAATAATGTTAATCTATAAAGTATCATTTTTGACATACAGTCTATTCAGTAAATGTTTCTTGGAAAACATATTTGAAACAAAAAGTGTATTATTTTATTAGAAACGAGTTAGTAACCCACGCGTTATTAATTTAATCAATAAACTAATAAACTTAAGGCTGATCACACGTACAAAATATTATACAATATAATAATTTCCAAATTGTCGGCCTTTAGCACTATTAGGTAAAACGGTCCAGAAGAAAATTTCTGCTGGAAACCTCGTTAGATTATAGTAAGTAATTGTAAAATGCTGCTGGTCGTAGCTTGTAAATTCGTAGAGCTTACTTGATTTCGTAACAGGGCTACGATTGCTACAACAGACGTATCCAAATTAAGAATCCACCCATATCGCTGTACCAACATGTGGTGAAAGTTATTACATACCTTAAAGCGGTCGACAAATTTTAAATCGTGTTACCATTATTAATGTCCCAGGAGTGGCGTCCAGGACATCTGGACCACCCTCACTTGTGCTCTGGTACTGGATTATTAGCATACACATAAATAATCTATCTAATAGCTATAATAGCTAATATCTATAGCTAATCTAAAATTTTAATCTAAAACAAAAATCATTCAAAGTATTTAAATATAAATATAAATATAATAATAATAATTAATAAATAATTGATATTTTAAAAAAATATGTTCGATTATGTATATATAAGATTATGTCACAGTATGTATTACAGTCTACATACATTATAGTTGCTTATTAGGCGAAAAATAAAAGACTTTTTAATTGAATTGACTTTATGTTTAGATTGGAAATCGTCGATAAGCGTTAAGTATTTTTCTTTAAGTATTTATTTTTAAAGTTAAGTATTGTTATTTAATTTTTCACGGCTCAACGTAGAGAGACCTATCAGCAAAATCTTTTGAAATTCGTAGTTATCAGTTTCTGTCCAATTAGTTAATGTATGTTATCAGCTTGGAATCGACATTTGATTAATTGATCGCCAATAAAAACGACCGTCGTAAGTACATTAAAGTATTACAAGAGAACAAAAAAGTTTATTAGTACACCCGTAAGCTAGTTTTGCTCGAAGGCATACTGTCCCAAGATCGAACGAGTGAATAGTAGAAACCATAACACGTAGACGTGATGTAAGAGAAGAGTGTCGGACGACATGAGCGCCCCGCTTTAGCGCAGTGGGCCGACTGTCGGCGCGGAGTGGCGTGGAGTGACGCGGACACGACACAACCGACTGGACCCGCGACTCGGGGCGCTGTGCTTGCTATGTTCGTACAACATACGCGCCTTCTCACGGAATTAAATATTAAACGACATACAATATATAAAAATTAAATATTAGCATATTTAAACACATTTACAATTTTTTTTATTTAGCGGACGCGTACCTTGTTTTATAATATTATCCAACTATTACATTTTTGTAATAGATAGTAAGCTGACTGTTTGTAACCAACGGAACATTTTTTGCCATTACTAATACAAATAAGCCTAAATATTTTTCTATATAAATATAAAATTATAAACACATCTCTCGAAAACCTTCAATTAAAAATAAAAAACAAGGTACTTTGTTTCGGTATAAAATTCAACGGGGACTGCGTATTTTATTTGAGTGAACGTTTGAAAAAATTGAACGTTTCATTATTACTGGTGGTAGGACCTCTTGTGAGTCCGCGCGGGTGGGTACCACCACCCTGCCTATTTCTACCGTGAAGCAGTAATGAGTTTCGGTTTGAAGGCTGGGGCAGCCGTTGTAACTATACTGAGACCTTAGAACTTGGCGCCTTTACGTCATAGTTGTCTATGGGCTCCAGTAATCACTTAACACCAGGTGGGCTGTGAGCTTGTGCACCTATCTAAGCAACAACAAAAAAAAATGAATGAATTGCAATTCGCATCGCTCAAGTGAGATGAGGAGCTGGCCTCGTTCAAGATTGCGTTATCGGTCGCTTTTCTACTCGATACGTTTCTGACACATCCGATTTAATCCGCACACTCGATTTCCTACGCGAATACGAGAACACGAGTTAATCTCATAGAACTAATCTCTGAGGACTTGTTTGGATCTCATTGAACCATAGTCAATTTTATAGTGAGGTATACTATTGTGCACTGATCTTACCTATGTAAATCGATATTTACTCTGAAACTTAAAATTAAATTCCTGTAAGATATCCAATATTCCCAGTACATTTTAAATGTATAATAATGCTTTGTTGTCATTCCATTTCAATACAACGTTTCCCGTTGCATAAATGATAAATTAAGTAATACACCCTCTCAGATAAATTCGCAAAATGGTTTTGGTACCTTGTCAGACCAGATGGTGTTTTCACGAATCAAAGGCCCGAAAAGCAGATTTACTTGATCAGTTCGGTTCAACTGCAACAAACTCGCTCGTAACATATTGCTAATAACAAATAAATACAAAGGAAAACCGCAAACAAACAGAAACGGCTACAACTACATATTAGATTCAAGTAATAATAATAAATAAATTTCAATATAAGCAAAATTGTTGAAAAAGCTCTTTTAAAGTTGCCGGCAACGCTGCTCTATGATTGTTATTAGTATTTATACTATGCAAATCAGAGACTTGGAAAAGCCAATATTTTTACAGGCATACATTAAATGTTCAACAATATTTTTGAACGCGTTTTAAAATTACAAGTGCAGTGCAGTGTATCGGTACTGGAGGCATGGTTCTGGGCTTTATCATTCGAGTTAAAAAGACTTTACTCTTTAGAAATATCAGATATTTTTCTTCAATTTCTAACAGGAAAAATCAAGAATCTGTAATTACATCAAAGTAATTAGTCACTAGAACGTAAAGTGATCGGCAAACACCTGACACCTTTGACACTTGCAATGGTTGATTTATTTGGCAAAGCAAATAGAAAGTGCTTACAAAGTCGTACACCCTAAACTAATTTTATGATATAAACTCACTAAGCAATTGCAAAAACAAATAAATGCCCACTTTTACAACATAAGTCGATGAGTTTCAAATATTATCGCTAGGAAACACTATCTTACTTAACTACACTTAACAAAATATGTACATCTAATGAAAAAGAGAAATAAGGATGGTTTTATATTTAAAAGACATACATATTTAAAAAAAAACAATGCACATGTATTTAGAGTTGAAGAAAAAATAGAGCTTCGAATATTCCGGAATTTTTTCCGATCCAGCTAACGCACATACAGGCTATTTAATTTTAAATATGTCGGATACAGGAGCGGCTGCTGTTGTCCGTGCTACCGCGCCACGTCGCTATGGAGATGAAAGCGGACATCGCGAGCCAACCACGCCACGAGCAGTTCCACAAGATCTACATTCAGCGCTACGAGAATGTCAGGTACGCTCTACATAATGTGTGCCTCTTCATACAAACAACTGGATCATCATAGCATTCTTAATTGCTTGCCAAGTCATCATACATTAAGATAATACATATACATATATGTATATACTATGTATGTACTCATATGTAGAACCGTTGCGACGTAAAATCATAAAAACAAGGAACACACTTACGTATTTATTATTAAGATATTACAATAATGTTACCAAAGTTTTATCAAGGAGATCAGCGATTTTACACTGGTGGTAGGACCTCTTGTGAGTCCGCGCGGGTAGGTACCACCACCCTGCCCATTTCTGCCGTGAAGCAGTAATGTGTTTCGGTTTGAAGGGCAAGGCAGCCGTTGTAACTACTTATATACTGAGACCTTACAGCTTATATCTCAAGGTGGGTGGCACATTTACATTGTTAAATTCAAATAGCCCGAACCCACGGCGAGTGTTTGTTGTAATTCTATGTGTAATACTCGTATAGTGAAGAATATGTTCTGTATTGTAGTAGTAAGTGTAGTCAGACAAGTGAACTCTACCTCGATATTATTACATCGTATAACAGATTGAGTGACACCAATTCACGAGCGGACCAGAACACATCGCGCTCGTCAGAATACTCCTCACACGTGTGACTCGTGTGACTCCGTACGGTCTCGCCAATGTGGCTGCCGCATCACTGAATTTACATTACAACAAAATCATTAGGCTGTATCACAAAGTACATATGTCGTGTTTCACGGCTTGTTCTCCGTGTCAAGAGCGTCATCGTGAACAGAGGGCGCGAACCGAGCCTCGAAGTTTAGATTAGAATAGTTTTGACGCGGAATGAGTATTAGATTCGTAACACTTTGATATGGAAATATGAATCGCCTGTCGCCGGATTAGAGTTCGTCCATACTACCTAGCAAGCACCACTGCGTTCATCCACGGTACGTGTCTAGAGATTTTATTTGTCACGTACCATCCGGCTTTGAAATGAGCTCCTCTCTACCTGAGTACATGTCTTCCTTCAAACGAGCTTGCAAAGAGTACTTGACGGTAGGCAGCGGCCTGGCATTGCCCCTATAATTTGGGACGTCTATGGGTAACGGCAGCCACTCACCATCAAGTAGGCCGTATACTCATATGTCTACAAGGGCAATCAAAAAACAAGCATTGTGAGCTTCAAAAGAAACCTCATTTGTTTAGCAACAATTCGTAGCAGTGACTGGTGAGCGTGGATCGTGTTTGATTTTCGGGAATTAATCGCGAAGTACCAAAAAACGCTGTATCTAAATTAGAAGTGCATGAAATAAAAATATACAAATTTAGAAATGAATAGTGCTGCCAGCTTCTATCCACATTGTGTGAATACACTACGACAAGACTCCATGCAATGATTTCTCCTGTATTCTTGATAGCATAAGACAAAAGCTTACTTTATATTTAAATGAATAATTCTTAAGATAAGTTACGCGTTACTAAATGCTCAGAGAAATGTTCTAGAACTAGTATCCGCGTCTTTGAGGCCTCAAGCTCTACTTGAGCTTCGAAAATCGTGGGGAAATGTAGCTTCAGTGCCAAATCCCAAAATAGAATACTTGATTCTACTGTTACTAGCTTGTTAATGAAAGTTAATATCCTGGTTGCATAAAAGTGATCACAAATACTTAAAATTACAGATTTTTTTATGTATTTCTCACGTAAAAAAACCACGTGCTATCAAGTTCCGGAAAACTCTAAAATTACAATTGAACGTTTTATTCTCACAGCATGCATCTATATAATTAATAACAACTTCTGTTAAAAAATAATTCAATCTCTGCTGTTGTTTCTTACGAAAAGCGTCTGCGCATTTTGTTTTAGAAAGGTTTTGAGGTATTGAATCACAATAAGCTGTAAGTGATGTTTCGGAGTTAATTTCAATGTTCATAAAGTTCCTTTTGAAAGTTCACAGAGTAATGTGGTACAAGTACAAGTTAAGTTTGTAAAGTACTTTTTTAGACTTTATACTTGCCCCAACCGCAGGCAAAAATCCATTGTTCCGGCCGCAGAGCAGGATCAGTTACTGTTATAGTATCTCGCCTAGAAACATAAAAGGCGTCGTTTCAGCTTATTTGAATTTATGTTCGTTGAATTCCTTTCCCTAATAAAATGTAGTTTATCTAGTATAATAAACGGGTCGTCTCGTATTCACTTGATCCCTAATATTTTATATACGGTTTCCATTCACATTACGGCCGACAGTGCATGCATACGGATAAACACGAATATCCCAACACCATTTTGAACCGTAACGCACTCTTTGAGTTAACCTGTACGTACATATGTAATGTGTAATAGTGTACACCTAATAGTGTGATAAATAATGTATGAGCAAGCTGTTGTTAACGGTGCAGTTAGTCTTCAATCATTTTTAATTTGAATATGAGCTGTACATACTGAACGGCGAGAATATTCAATAACTCAAAGAATGGTTACCTACTAACTCGACGTTGCTGTCGATCTAGTGGCAGTGAACTCCATCTAAATGTACCGTGCAACTTCAACAGAGACAGCAATTCATAAAGTTCATAAGCTGGTGTAGTCGCGCCGGCAGGTATGTTAGAGATAAGTTGCAATTAAACTATTTAACGCGAATAGACGTACGAATGCTCAATTGAAGAACACCTTCGAAGCAAACCAATTTATTGTTACAGCCCCTTGTTGTTGTAACACTTAATTGTGTGAACATTGTTTCTCCAAGAAACACCTGGCCCGCCCGACGTAAGTGCTTACACTAATCATCATTTTACTTTGAATAGGTGAAATAAAAAGTAGCTGTATCAACAGTTGCATGACCGAACATTCCACTATAGATAAATTCCAAACCATAATACCCTTATTAAATTAATTTAAATGTATGTGTTTAACAATGCTAAATATATAATGATAACGCTAGGAGAGGTTTTTCGATCATAATTGATGGATTGCAAATTCTATGGACAGGACTTTCTAAATTATAAAATATTATATATATATGAGATAAATCTCAGCAAAATTGAACTCGAAATATTTTGCAAAGAATCAACAAAATAATGTTTTTATATTTAATTTTTATAACGTATAAAATGAAACAGCCATTTGATTTGACAGTATCGAGATCAAGGTGAGAGTGAGTTCGACATCGCAACCAGTTGCGGCCAATGGTAAATAAAGTCCCGAGCGATCCTTACAATACAAGTAAGAATCTTTCTAATTACTCGAACTCGCACAGACATCCTTAGTAAATTCAAAAAACAATTAGAGAGCACCAGATCAACAGGTCGATGAGACAGTAATACTCATAGTACTGAGCTGAACGATGAAAGGGTGGATGTAAAATGAATTATTGAAAGTAAAACTTTTATCATTTAAAATGTATTACAGAACGTGTAGACGTGCCGTTCGTCACAAAAAGTCTTTTCTTTGATCCTTAAAAGTCGATTCCTGTCGTAACTTTTCAGAATTCTTTTTGTCGTTTGGCAATTCACAAAGTACCAAACATTTTTCTTATTATTATACAAATTTACAAATTTTCTCACTTAAGCCTAAACTTTAAAATAATAATTTTAAGCAATATTAAATATAATCCTGACACCTGAACCTGAAAGTTTTAGTTTAATTGCGATGTAATTAATCTAGAATGCCCCGTAACCTATAACCGTACTACCTTATAAAGTTATAGTTGCCACATTTAAATTCCTAACTTACGCTTATAGGTAGTTTGTTTCTTCTAGCGTAGTTCTTATTAATTTCGAATAAACCATTCTCTAGGTATCATAAATTTGTACGCGTCAGGTTTTTCTCTATTCTGTTTTCTTATTCAATACTAGATTTTAATAAACAAACACGAATCTAAAAAGATTCTGATTAGATAACTGAACCACGTCAGGTAAACACTATAATGAGTCATAAATCGAATGGTAATCATAAACAAAGTAGAACAGAACAAGCACTCCCAAGAATGTAATGCTCGTTACGTTGCATTGAGTCGCGTCTCTTCAGCCGTCGACATGCAACAGACAACAGTGTGTACGAGTAATCTCATTGCGCCTTAACATTCATTCATGATGTTTATTATTAAATTTTAATTTTAAAAAATCAACTCTCTTTATTATAATCGGTTGTCATGCATGTCATACACTTTACTTTTTTTTATTGCTTAGATGGGTGGACGTGCTCACAGCTCACCCGGTGTTAAGTGGAGCCCATAGACAACTATGACGTAAAGGTGCCAAATTCTAAGGTCTCAGTATAGTTACAACGGCTGCCCCAGCCTTCAAACCGAAACTCATTACTGCTTCACGGTAGAAATAGGCGGGGCGGTCGTACCTACCCGTGCGGACTCACAAGAAGTCCTACCACCAGTAATTACGCAAATTATAATTTTGCGGGTTTGAATTTTATTACACGATGTTATTCCTTCACCGTGGAAGTCAATCGTGACCATTTGTTAAGTATCATCAGAAAAATTGGTACCCGCCTGCGGGATTCGAACACCATTGCATCGCTATATACGAATGCACCTGACGTCTTATCCTTTAAGCCACGACGACTTAATTACTGCACTTAGATACAACAAAATAACGACAATCTATAAAAGAAAAATGAGAAAAGTTAAACTTATACTCGTAGTGAAAGTAAAATGGACGGACTTGTCAGCTAAGGCGATCTCTTCCAGTAAACATCTTATAACAGTGCCGCCCTTGGGCTGGACCAACGGTGCTCGTTACGATTGCAGGGGATTATTTATTTAACTACAATGTTGTTATACAAATACAATATTAAATAAATAAATAAATATTTACTAACAATCACGCCACGTTAACTGGTCCCGTGATAAGTTCGTAAAGAACTTGTGTTACAGGTACCAGATAACGGAAATAAATGTAAGATTTTTATTGTACACATACATATATTTAATATACATCCATAACCCTGGAAAAGACATTTATATTTATCATACAAATATCTTTCCTTGGCGGGATTCGAACCCGCGAC